ACACTCAATCGTCTCTACCTTCTTGTTGGAATGTGTGTGCATCGAAGGCTCATAGCCATGGCGACGAAGAAGAATAGTTCATCATCCATTCAAGCTGTCTACGACCTCTGCAGAGATACTTTTGCCCCTTCCGCTACCTCCCCCACTTCTAATGCCATTCAAAAGCTCTCCTCTTTACTCGGTGCGTTTCCCTTCCTTTTCTTTTTCTGCTTCCAAAATTCAGTATAATAATCTGAAATTGGAGTTCTATGGGCGTCACTTGAATTGATTTTACAGACATAAACTTACTCTATTGTTTGCACTGATCTGATATCTCCGGTTTGATCATTGATGTGTTTGCATACACGAACCTTTTTCATCTTCTTAGGCTGTATGCAAGAATGAGCAAAGGGAGAGCTTACAATGGTAGATTCCCTCATGTATGTGCTGCCAGCTCTGATAGAATAACATTTTACTGTCTTCTACTAAATGGGCTTAAGCTAGTTTTGGTTATTTTTCTCTATGCTCCCTGTTTTCGAATATGCATCTCTTTGCAACTTGATGTACGACTTGGCATGTCCATAGATAGCTAGTTGTGGTGTATGCGATTTGGTAACTAGTAGCTCTGTGAACTCATGGCCTCATTCGTTAGGACTTGAGCAAATCTTTTTTATCGCGTTGCTTGGAGCATTTGATTGTTATTCGTGATTAACGATCAAGTTATTGCCAGTTTCGCTTTCTAAAGTTGACTCGATTACCACTGCTTGGGAGAAGGTATTCATCAGATTATAACTCAATACATATTTTGCAGACTCGATTGGACCTGCCGATGTGGGGCTTAGTGTTGCCAGCAAAGCAGATAACAGAGGTCATGGTCCTTTTGGGATTTTTTCATTCAATAGAGTAGATAGATGGGCTCAACCAATAACTTATGTGGACTTACACGAGGGGAAAAGTTTCACAGTATGTATCCGTATTTCAACCATTCTTTAATTTCTAACATTTAAAATTGTCAAACATTCTTTACATGTAATTTGTCATTACTGTTGGTCTAATCTCATGATTTTCTTAACGAGTTAAAAAGTTCATGTCTAACAGGGGTTCCAAGTTCTAAGCTTGAAGCCAGTCCGTTCTTCTACATTATACATTTTTCTATATGTTTTGTAGATAATACATATAATAAGAAGTTGATTCCTCTCTTCACGGGTCCATTTTGACAACGTTAACTTCTGAAATATGCTTGGATAAGAAGAAGCATCTTCTACCTTTTGTTTGTCCTTTAGACTCAACAGTCGGAAAAAGTTGTTGTGAAGTTCTTCATTCTTTAAATTTTTAGTTCAAGTTTTAGAACATGAGAATTCAAATTGATGGGGTAAAAAATTAGGCATAACTTTGTAAACATATTCACTAATGAACTTTAAAATATTTCTCTTCATTGCTTGTCCAGGGTCCTTTCTGCCTTACTAAATTCTTGTCCCTATAAGTATTTCCTTGACTCAGCATACTACAAGATCTGGCTACTAAATATGTACAAGATTTTTAGGAACTAAGTACCTATTTTATGGACATCATAATGAAGGTCAGTATTATTGATACGCCAATATCATCAATACTCCTTCCATTCCTAGAAGATAGGCTTAAGTGAATTGCAACTCAATTACAGTAAACACCATCATTGTTTGTAGGGTTAAAAAAATCTCTATTTTGTTGGCTCTCACTGTTCTATTGATTGACATACTCTATTTAGCGCAAGAGGTATTTTTGGGACGGCTTAAGTAGCAATGTAGTCTATCGTTTTGGGATGGAAGGAGTACTATTTGTTTCCATTATTGTTGTAAAAAAAAGAGGAGGAATTTTTCATTATTCTGATTGTATTATATGAATGTGTTGCAGATGTGCATATTTTGTTTCCCTACTTCCTCTGTTATTCCACTTCATGACCACCCTGGCATGACTGTTTTGAGCAAAGTGTTATATGGTTCCTTACACGTCAAAGCTTATGACTGGGTAGAGCCAGCTGTCATCCGGAATTCAGGTCTGCTTCTATATTCAGTTGTGTACCCTTATCTTACTCGTTACTTGATCAAGGTATTCGCTATCTTGTGGAGATTTGTTGTCAAATTAAGGACACCGTATTCTGTGGCATGATTTCTGATGGAAATTGGGTGGGATGCTGTTGATGCCAAAGGATTTCATTGATTCTTATGTTTTTGATGAGCCTTATGACAGTATATATATGTATAGGATGTGGTTCAAATGAGAACCAAGCCCTAGTGTGAGAACCGTGAGAACCGTTATTTTTTAATTGTACGTAGTGCTATGATTGATTGTATTTTAGTGCTACTTTTAACGAGGATATATTTTATTAAAAATAGAAACATAATTTATATTAGCATTTGTGAAAATGATAGCACCATGTAATATTAACAAAAGTATCATACACAATTAAAAATAGCATTAATTACGGTTTTCACGGTTCTCACACCACGACTAGTTTTTATTCGAACCAACCCCTACATATCATATCATATATATATATATATATATGTGTGTGTGTGTGTGTGTGTGTGTGTGTGTGTGTGTATGAATGGCTTAACTTCTGAATATAGCTATGGTAATGTTTGGGACCTTTCATTGAGTTTGAACGAGGACGGATATAAGAATTTTGTATTGTGATGGATAAGAGATGGCAAATTAATTATTTGTTCGAAAATAAATAATTGATGGAAGACACTATAAAGTCTTGACACAATGGTATTGAAGGGATAGAAATCAACATTATGGAAACAAACTTCTTGTAGCCTGAGAGAGGTTCAAGAATGGAAATTTCGCATCAACTTGAACATTGTTTCATCGCTTTTGCAAACCATGGAAGGAGAAGATAAAATACTGAGTGTGTATCACGCAGAATCTCACGACACACCAATGTTTTGGGTAGTTTGATTTGGGCAAAGTAACATGTGGACATATTCTTTTCGTTTGATATTCGTTATAGGGTGTAGTTTAGGAGTTGGAGATGTTGTAAAGATCCTGAATCACTGAAAACTTGTTTAAAGTTTAAACTAAACATCAGCACTTTTACAAACTGATGAAGTCCATTTGATTGGACCTGATTTATTTACTTTAGCTTCTTGAGTTCTTTCCATTGTTTTTTGATTTCTTACATTTATTCAGCGAGACTGGCTAAACTGGCTCAAGATAAAGTTCTGACTGCCCCATGCAGTACAACCGTTTTGTATCCAAAGAGTGGAGGAAATTTGCACTGTTTTACTGCAGTAACTCCTTGTGCTGTACTTGACATCCTTTCCCCTCCATATAATGAACTTGCTGGAAGGAAATGTTCTTACTACAGTGACTATCCTTTCTCTACCTTCTGTAAGCAGCTTAAGTTTCTCCAAAAAAAAACTGTGAATTTCTATGTTACCGGGCATTTAAATGTAATTTGTCCATTTTTGCAGCTGCGGAAAATGATGTATCAGGTATAGATGGGAATGAAGAAGACTACTCATGGCTTGTAGAGGTCGACACACCAGACAACCTCTACATGTGCTCGGGAACATACGCAGGCCCACCTATTCAAAAGTAATTGTCATCCTAAAAAATCTCCTATGTTTGATACAAAGATATCTGTAGATTCACTCGTCGAAGAATTGCCTTCAAGAAATTTAATTTCTTCTTCAGTCTTTTATTTTTTCTCAAACGATAGAAGTATATACATATCTATATATAACTCGAAAGAATAAGTACAAACGGGATGTCAAT